AAAGTAGGCTCATTCAAACACCCATCGTAAGGGTTCAACTAGCACCTTTGGTCTTAAATTGGAATATCTAGTGGCCGTGATACTGGGAGAATGAACATAGGTTCCCCAGTCCAGGAGCCACTCAATGCGCTCTCTCCGCGTGTGTGAGTGTGTGTGTGTGTGATTTATTTATCCTTTGCTCCCCTTTTTTTTGTTTCATTTCAACTTCTCTTCCTACAACAGACCAGAGCTTTTAAGGCTGCCTGCCCACCTTTTCAGGGTTTGGGTGCAGGAGAGAGATGTGAACTCCTTTAGTTTTTGTTTCTTCTCTCTTTTGCCACAGATTCTAATCAGTTAGATGACTTGAAGTGGCCAAGGGCAAAAGATTAGCTAATCCCATTCACTCATCCATCAAACAGACATGTGGGGAGAATCTACACAGATAAGTTCCTCACCTTCCCAGTTTATGGTCAAAGGGTCAGTCAAACTGAGCTAGCACAAGGAAGTAACCTTTGACCCCTCTCTCTACCCTTTGGATCAATTTTTGGATGTGGTTTAGTACTATAGGGTTTTTCCATGGAACCCAGAACCTAGGTAAGGGTTATACAAACAGTGGATAAGCAAGATTGTAAGTGATCTTCCCTATAATTGATCCATGGAAAGGTTTCTAGCCCAGAGATCTGACTAGTCCTATCTCCTCGTTAAGTATCCAACCACTAAAATTAATTCATTCACCCATTCTTCTTTACTTTGATGACACAATTTTAAGTTTTCTCATTTTGCATAAGAATTATCTCAAAGCTGATCTATTTGTCTTATTGGTCCCTGCTATGTGTCTGGTGTTAGTTGATATTTACCCATTCAGGTAACACATGTCTTGAATAGCTACCGTATACCAGAGGCTGTCCCAGACATTGAGGCTACAGCCTTACATAATGATCCCTTCATGAAGCCAGCAAGAGAGTGAGACCAGACAACTCTTGGTTCTTTCCAAGAGACAAAGTAACTCTAATTATCCATTGCTGTGCAGAAAACCAAAGTGAAGAATGAGGTTCTAATACAAGGGAAAAAAGATGGGAGCGTTTGCATTTGTTGGCCATAAGTGAACAAGTTTTGAGTCTACTGTCAGACTGGTTCTCCGCAGCTGACATCTTCAGGATTGAGCTATGTATTAATAGATTTTAGTTAAATAATTGACATTATATAGAGTTTGAAACACCAGACCCTGTAAGGAATGTTTTAAAGTTTGTTGTCAGAACCAGATGGTCAAAAGACCTACGACACATGGCCACTGTCAAAGAGCAGAATTTTCTTCCTCTCCATAACTGTCAAATTGGAGAACCAAAGAGATACAAATGAGTTTTGCAGTCCTGGGGCTCTGAGATTAGGGATGGACTACACCACAGTCTGTTGATGCCAGCCTGGGGTAAGACGTTGTGGCTCATTCTGATGAGGCATGGCTCTGATGTGGTGTGTCAGCGAGAGACTTAGCGAGTGAATAGTGTAGCAATTTATGGCCAAGAAAATATTGCTTTCTTCAAAAAAATTACCTACTCTCAGACTCAGCAGGGATTTGGAGGCTGGAGATTTAGCCCTGGACTGTGGATCAGGCATACCTTTTCACATGCCAGCAGTGAACGGTCTCTCAGCCCCTGATTAGAAAACAGCTCCATCTCCAACACAGCTTCAAATATCAACAGCACTCTGAATGAGGGACTTCCCTTCCTTGGTAAACTTGCTGGATTATGTATGTCCAGTCACTAACAAAGAACCCTTTGTATTATTCTTTAACCACTATAAACTCCTGCTTACCCAGGCCCTAATATGTTGTCCTGCCACAAGAAAAATAAAAATCAATCCACTGGCTAAGTCTCAAATACAATAAACTAATGACAAGACTTAAGTTTTAATAAATTCAGTTTTGGTCTTGCTTTTTTTTGAGAGAGAGAGTGTCACTCTAGTACCCCTGACTAGAGTACCATGGCATTAACCTAGTTCACAGCAACCTCAAACTCCTGGGTTCAAGCCCTCCCAAGTAGCTGGCACCACAGGAGCTGCCACAATGTCTGGCTAAGTTTTCTATTTTTAGTAGAGATGGGGTTTTGTTCTTGCTCAGGCTGGTCTTGAATTCCTGAGCTCAGGCAATCCATCCTTCTCAGCCTTCCAGAGTGCTAGGATTACAGGTGTGAACCATCAGCCTCCCAGAGTGCTAGGATTACAGGTGTGAACCATCGTCATTCCTTTCTCTGGCTTTGATAGAAGGATTTGTTTGGACTGCATTGTTGATATCAAATGAACCCTTCTTTGTTTTAGTTTTGAAAACAATCAGAGAAAGGACAAACCTTAAAGACAGTTTGAATAGTAGTGTATTCTTTCTTTTTTCTTTAATTATAGAATATTAAAGGGTACATATTTTGTTTGCATACTTTGTTTTTGCACAAATTGAGTCAAAGTTATAAGTGTGCCCTTCACCCAGATACTGTGCACTGTATTTAATAGGTGTGACTTTACCCATCCCCTCTTCTCCTCTCTCCCCAGATTGATTTTCATTGAGATTTTCTTTCACATGTGCACTTAAGTATTGATTGAGTGGTTCCAATTTGGTCACTGTTTCTCCATTCTTGTGATGTGTCACTTAGAAGAATGGTTTCCAGTTCCTCCCGGGTGTCACAAAGGACACTAGATCACCATTTTTTATGGCTGAGTAGTGCTCCAGGGCATGCATATGTCACATTTTATCAAGCCATTCATGTACTGGTGGGCACTTGGGTTGTGTTCATGTCTTTGCAAATGTGAATTGTGCTGTTATAAACATTCAAGTGCAGGTGTCCTTTTTATGAAATGTCTTTTTTTTCCTTTCCTAAAGTGGGATTGCTGGATCCAATGGTAGGTCTACTTCAAGTTCTTTGATACATCTCCATACAATTTTCTATACTGTGTTCTTAGTATGTACACTTTCCATGAGACAAAGGAAACTAAAGATACACAGTAAGCTCCAATTGTCAGGATGTTGAGGTATGCTAACTCAGTCTGTTAGTGACAACAGGGTTATTTTTGTTTGTTTGTTTGGGTTTTTTTGGGGGGGGGGAGTTTTTGGCCGAGGCTGGGTTTGAACCCACCACCTCCAGTATATGGGGCCAGCGCCTTACTCCTTTGAGCCACAGGTGCGGCCCAGTGACAGCAGTTTTTATGGTAGTAGAAAGAATAAGATAGACTGGGTTTGAAGCCTGACCCCAAATGCTCACTTTATCTTTTAATACATTGGCCAGATTTAAGTCTGATTCAAGGGAGGTCATTACCCACCTCATAGGATTGCTGAGAAGGTTAACTGAGAATAAACACAGCACCTGCGCCTGGCAGGCTGAACGCCCTCAGTGGCTCCCATTCCTTCCTTTCCCTTCTCCCTATAGCCACTTTTACAAGATGACATCACAGTTTCCTCAGTTGGATGGCTACTAGGTCTTAGGGTTTCCAGATTTCTGCTGATTTAAATATCCAACTGTGCTGATATGATTTATGCAAATGCCAGCTGGGGACTGATGCCATAACAGAAGTGAGTCATTTAGAGCTTTCCTTAGCAGTCTGAGCTTGCCTCAGAGAGAACTGGGTTGTCCTTACTGATGGTAGAGAATGGGGCAGGAGAAGGTTGCCCTGGGAGTCGGATACTCCTGACAGTGTTCTCATCACCAAAGGGTTTTCACAGGTTAGGTCCAGGACTTCCCTAAGTGACACCAAATGGGGGTTAGCAGCTTGGACTTTGAAGTCTGACAAACTGAGGTTTGAATCACAATCATTACTCACTAGCTGAGTAGCCTCTCAAAGGGTCTGTTTTCCCTTAGAGTTCTTGTAAGGATTAAATGAGGCCACCTACTGAAAGCACTTGGGACGGGGACTGGCACACAGTAAATGCTGAATACAAGTCAGTTCTCCTCTGCCTGTCCTGGATGGCGTTCACCTCAGCTATCTATTAATTCCCCAAGTCTGCCTTTCCTCAATTGGCACGTTAATAGAGATGCTGTTTCTTGTACAAGTACTATGTTCACACTTCAGCTGAAATGCCTACATCCCACCCAAACAGCCCGTCGAACATTAATTCATCCTTTGATCATTATTTTGTGAAGCCTATCTTCAAGTTGAAAGAACCTATAATTATTTCTCACTCATATGAAACCTCGCATCATAACTAAATAGTTGTTGATCATGAACATAATCAAGAGCTTAAATAATACGCTTTATTCAAAAGCAGCCTAATTTCACGCCATTATTCCCAAGTTCCATATCCTACCAAAATAGTTTATCTCAGTAAACTTATTTAAAAAGAAAAACCAAAAAATGTCTCTATCAAAATACAAACAATAATAACAGTCCAACTATGTGTCTTGGTCTGGGATGTTGCTCTATAGCCAGGAGATGGAAGGTTAAGAATATACCTCCTCTGAAGATGAGTCAACTTTTGCCAAATGCCTTGAAGATGCATGGCTCTTTATTGATAAATGTTAGCGTCATCATTTTAGTGAGAGATTCACATTTCTTTTTCCCTAGCAGAATCTCTTAAGGTTCTTCATGCTCTTGGAGGGGCAGTTATGTCTCTGTGATAATATATATGTGATTAGCTCCTTTATGTTACCAATATATCATGGAGACATTCAGGTTTACATTATACACAAGCTCACTATTAGTTTCGTGAGTTAGGTGGTGCCTATTCTGATATCGCTAGTAAAAAGCGCATGAAATATGCATAAATCCTGTCTAATGACTGAAGTTAAATATACCTCGAAGAATGTTCCATCATTAAGATTTGCATACATTTTTCTTATAAGAGAGGCATTATTCTGCATTGTAGCGTGTGTTTTATTACAAATGTGGAGTTCATTGATGAATAGTGATGGAGCTGCAAATCAAGTCAACAGCTTAATTAACTCAGCAGGATTCGGGGATGCTTTTCTCCCTTGGTGAACACCCCACCCCAGAGCTCGGTTCCTGGAGCTTTGGGTGGCTTCTCTGTGGAGAGGGAGCCTTACCTGAGACCCTCCCCCTCTGGAGAGTGCTGTCGGCAGTACTCCAGCGTGTAGGTCTCCGTGGCATCTGGATTGGCAGACCGCCACCGGATAGTGGCCGTGTTCCAACACACCGTACAGTCCTCAGCACGGATCACAGGGGTGGAGGGTGCTGCAGAGAGAGAACCAAGACAATTGTGCAGTGAAGTCAGCTCCACTTCGCAGGACTAGGAGGACTGCTTGGGCATGATTTTATATTTACTTTTTGTCTCAGAAAATTTATTCTGGGTTGAAAATTCAAAGGGATCAAAATTTATACGGTGAAGTCTCTCTCCCTCTTCTGCCTTTGAAATCGCCCAATTCTCACCCATCCCCAGACAGCCTCTAAGGTTAGCTTCCTATTAATCCCACCAAGATCTTTATATCAATACACATAAAAAAAAATAAAGATTCTCACTCCTCTCCCTTTACACAAAAGGCAGCCATGACCTGGGCCTCAATAAGTGCTCAATAATGACTTGTAAAAGGCAAGAGGAGGCTAGGTGGTGTGGCTCATGCCTGTAACCTCAGGATTTGGGGAGGCCCAGGCAGGGAAATTGCTTGAGGCCAGGAGTAACAGATGTTACCAAACTGGGTAACATCATGAGACCTTGTCTCTACAAAAAATAGAAAAATTAGGTGGGCATGGTAGCACTTTCTTATAGTGCTACTTGGGAGGCTGAAGCAGGAGGATTGTTTGAGCACAGAAATTTGAGGTTGCAGTGAGTTATGATGATGCCACTGTACTCCAGCCCAGGCAATGGAATAAGAACCTATCTCAAGAAAAAAAAAAAAAAAAACCAAAAAAGCAAGACAAAAGGATGAAGAGGGGGAGGAAGCTATCCTTTCCCCTGAGGCAGGTACAATTATCTTGAAGGCAATGCAGCCTTGGTTTATACTACACCTCCTCCTTCAGCTCCTTGTGAAAAGATTTTATCACCTGAATATATTCCCAGTTGAATATCATTGCTTAAAATCTTTCTGGGGCTCCCTGTACCCATATGGCACAGCCCAAGTTACTTACTTGCAAGCACAGCCTCTGTATGCTAGCCTTTCTCATCCTCTCTTTCTTCTCTCTCTTTTTTTTTTTTAGACAGAGTATCACTCTGTTGCCCTAGTTAGAAAGCAGTGATAGGATTATAGCTCACTAAAGCCTCAAACTCCTGAGTTTAAGCCATCCTCCTGCCTCACCCTTCTGAGTAGCTGGGACTACAGGCATGTGCCACCATGCTTGGCTAATTTTTCTACTTTTAGTAGAGGCAGGGTCTCATTCTTGCTTACCCTGTTCTTGAACTCCTGAGCTCAAGCAGTCCTTCTGCCTTGACCTCCCAGAGAGCTGGGATGATAAGCAGGAGCCACCATGCCTGGCCTCCTCTCTTTGTTTTTAAGTCTCAGAAACAACACCAAACTTCTTACAGCATCTGCACACTCCATACTGTTTCTTACCTCAATGCCTCTGGTCATACATCTTCAAGGGGAATATGCTTTAACACATGACTTCTTACTGATCCTTAGTTTAAGCATTTCATGTAGGCATCAGTTCTAGGAAACCATTCCTAATCCTTCCCCTGCCGCAGTCTGTCTTGGGTACCACCTGGAGTGCTTTCATAATAACCTGTGCCTATGTGGATCATGGCCCTTCCCACACATTTTCCGTGATCTTCTGATTTTCTGTGTCCTCCTCCCTGTTGACTATGAGCTTTTTAAGAACAAGAACCCAGTCATTCATCGTTACATACAAAGGACTTTGCACAACACCCAACAGATTGTAGGTGCCTAATCAATAATTAATTATTGGTGATCTCAAGAGTCTGAAGAATTGAGTAAAGCCTTCCAACACCCCCTTAGCATCTCCTTACCTGTTCTAAAAATTGCCCTTTCACTGGGCAGACTGCATCCAGTGAAGTTCACGGCCATAACCCACACTTGATAGCAGCGGTCAGGTTCTAAATCTTCGAAAATGCAGTAGCTTTCTTTCACTGTCACTCTGTATTCTTCTACCAACTCTAGCATAAAACACAATCACAAACTCTAAGGTGTCTTCCAAAGTTAAGTGAAAGTTATTGGGAAACATAGTCTGTGATTTTTTTTCTCCAGTGGAAATCTCAAACTGATAGCCTTACACGCCATTATATATGATAACTAGCTGTTTAGAAAGCATTAAGAAAGCAATCGCATTCTGAAAAGAGATATTTAGAAAGACATAGTATTTCTTGTGAACACTTACCAGAAAAAAATAGCATATTAGTAAGATTCTGAGCTTCATATACCACAATTAAAGTAACTTATTTCAAAAGCAAATATTAAAATTACATAGAGTTTATGGTAGCTTAAATCTCAGTAAAACAGTCTCAAGAAAGTCCAAGAATGAATGCCAACTTACAGAAGTGTGTATCACTAAAAAAGGGACAACCCTGTGTTTTAAAACTTATAAAGAAAGCATCTTGACAGATTAGTAAACTATTTTGGTATTCAGTATGACTTTCCCAGTTTCAAATCCTGGTTCCTTCTAATATATTCCAGAATCTTTCAGCTAGAGAATTCCACAATTTATAGAAATACTTTGAAAACTTTGATAGATCATAAGCTGTTCTAAGAAGTAACTTTATACAATCTAGACATTTTCCTTTAAAAAATTCTTCAATAAATTTTCTTTCAATATTTTTACAGTAAATGTTAACACCATTTTATACACCTGCCCCTTTGGGCCAATCTGATTATTCTTACTGAAAATTTTCTCTCCATTTTATTTTATTTTATTTATTATTATTATCTTTTTTTTGAGAGTCTTTTTTTTTGAGTCTCTGTCTTTTTTGAGACAGAGACTCACTTTGTCACCCTTGGTAGAGTGCCATGGCATCATAGCTCACAGCAACCTCAAACTCTTGGGCTTAAGTGATTCTCTTCCCTCAGCCTCCTGAGTTTTGAGATAGAGTCTCACTTTATTACCCTTGATAGAGTGCCATAATGTCGCATCTCACAGTCTCCAACTCCTGGGCTTAGGCAATTATCTTGCCTTAGCCTCCCAAGTAGCTGGGACTACAGGTGCCTGACACAACGCCCAGCTATTTTTTGTTGCAGTTTGGCCAGGGCTGGGTTCAAACCTGCCACTCTTGGTATATGGGGCTGATGCCCTACCCACTGGCCACAGGTGCCACCTGCCCAGCTATTTTTTGGAGACGGGGGTCCTGGGCCATGTGCAGTGGCTCATGCTTGTAATCCTAGCACTCTGGGAGGCTGAGGTGGGTGGATTGCTTGAGGTCACAGCTTTGAGAGCAGTCTGACCCAGAGCAAGACCTCCTTTCTAAAAATAGCCAAGTGTTGTGGCAGGCACCTGTAGTCTCAGCTAACTCAGGAAGCTGAGGCAAGAGAATCACTTGAGTCCAAGAGTTTGAGGTTGCTGTGAGCTATGATGCTATGGTACTCTACTGGGGGAGACAAAGGGAGCCTCTGTCTCCAAAAAAAAGAGAGAGAGAGAGACAGGGTCTCACTCTTGCTCAGGCTGGTCTCCAACGCCTAAACTCAATCTAACTGCCTCAGCCTCCCAGGGTGCTAGGATTATAGGAGGAGCCACCGTGCTCGGCCCCTCCTTTACAAAGAATGGTTTTCTTCTTAAAATTAGCCTATAGTAATTTCAGTTATCCTCCCTTATTACTCTTAAATGTCACATCTTTAAAACTCCTCCAGTTAAAGGCCCAGATTGTTTCTTTAAAAGATATTTAGGAGCTCTTCAACCCAGCAGGTCTCTCTAATGAGCTATGCTCTTTTCCAATGAGCTATAATTTCTGGATAGAAAGTTCAGTTTAAAGAATGCCATAAGGACTTGATCATACACTGAAAAACATTTCCCCCACAGCCCAGCAGCTGTGGCTGCAGTTTTCACTGGAATCATTCCTTTGAGGTCCTATTACCTTGACACTCGCTTTAAGGATGCATGTTACCGGAGACCCTGTTACACAAGGGACAAGGTACAGTATCCCAGAGCTGATCATCAGATCAGCTGTCATCAGCACAGTCCAAAGCATAGAACCAGTGAGATACACAGGATAGGGACGTGTTTGGGGTGGGATATGGGAGTGGGGGTGTGGGTAGAGGTCACACACATACGAAGGTGCTCCAGGCAACAACTACCTGTTAAGTGTTCTCAGAGAGCCATAGTGTTTCATGAAACAGCTGGATAAAGATGCAAAGTGTAGTATAACAAAACAAACAAAAGTATAAGTCCGAAAGATCAGTTTTTGAATCTGTCCCTGTCATGTACAAGTTGTGTGGCCTTAGGCAAATGACTTAACCCGAATCAGTTTTCTCATTTGCAAAGGGAGATAGTAACATTTATTTCATTGCGTTCTGATGGGCACATGGAAGTAGGTCTTTAACAACATAGGAGTCTTTATTGACAAACCTAGCCAACATTACACGGTGCCTACAGCTGCTTTTTAAAATTTTTCCTAAATAATCAAATGACATTTCAAAAGCCTTAAATATCAGTAACAGTAAAATATATTACCACTCATTCATGAGTATAAATTGGGAGCTGGAGTTTTGAATAGGATGGCGATCCTGCCACATATTCATCTGGTCTCCAAAGTATGTGGCTCTGGCTTCATAAGCCGCACAGAGTGGCAGCACTCCCAGGTCTGATTCATTGGGAAGTAAACTTCAAACTGCCTGGTCTTACTGGAAGTCTGACTGAGCACACAGACAGCGACAGAGGCTCATCTATGAGACATACCAGCCATTCACCCTCCCAAGCACTATCACTTCTATCCACCCCAGAAGACTACGCCGTACCTAAGCCCACGCCTTCCGAACTGTGAGCAGTGAATGAACCTCCTCGCTTGTTTGTGGCTCTCATCAGAGGGGGACCTGAGAAACTGCCGGCTGTGACATCCAAAGCCTCATTTGCATTCAGGTCATTGTGGAGGACACTGTCCTGTACACAGCTTGTTAGTCCCCTACCAAGTGACCCACATCACACTTTTCTTTCAGACTTCTGTACTAATGAAAACTTTGTTTTCCTTGAAACTCCTCCCTAACTCTTCCTGTTACCCTGAGAGCGCAAAGCCAGACGGGAATCTCATTTATAATATTAATGCTGACTATTAGGACGACATTTATGCATATTTATTTCCCTTGATCCTGCTTTCCAAATTTTGCTTCTGTGTTATGATTTTATGGGGTTTTGTTTAAATGTCTCACATTAAGATATCTAAACACACACCTGCGCCTGCACTGGCATTAGCAACCCTACCGTTTACTTCTTGGTCATCTTGGGGCTCCTCCATGCAGTAAACCTGGAACGAGTCGATGACGTCTTCCTTGTTCCTGCTCCAATAAACCGCGATCGTGGTGCCAGTGGCAGAATTCGGTTCCTGAGGTTCTAATCTAGGAGGCTGTGGAACTGGAATATAAACAGGTTTGATTACAACTAATGCTCTTTTTGTTCCTTTTCTGGCAAAATTTACTTATGCTTTTTGAAAAAAAAATGATACAATCGTTTGTATTTCAAATACAGAAATAGATGGAGTAAAAGTGGAAGCAGTGCTTTGTCACCAATAACTCCTACCCCAGTGACGTTCCTTGGATGCTCTCACTGTCGGTTGAGTACGCACCCCTCCAGAATGTTCTCTGTGCATTTGTGTGTGTGCATGTACACCGTAATACACCCGGAAATAACCACAAATGGATCCAAGAATGGAATCACTCAATAATACTCTTCTGTAGTCCTATATTTAGAGCAACAGACTAAATAACTCTTCATTGTTCCTTTTAAAAAGTGCTCTTTTGAGTATGCTTTGCTAGGTAATCAAGGGTAGATCATTTTCTATCAATATAGAGTCTATATTCATAACAGAGACAAATGAAACCTTTTTTAAGATATAGTTGCTGCATCTTCAAGGCAGAAAAATACCAGAATGAATAAAATACCAAAATATACATTTTTTTTTGAGAAAGAATTTCACTCAGTTACCCAGGCTCGAGTATAGTGGCATCATCACAGCTCACTGCAACCTTAAACTCCTAGGCTGAAGTGATCCTCCTGCCTCAGCCTCCAGAGTAACTGCGACTGCAGGTGTGTGCCACCATGCCTGAGTAACTTTTTCTATGTTTTGTAGAGATAAAGTCTGGATATGTTGCTTAGTCTGATCTCAAACTCCTGGCCTCAAGCATTCTTCCTGCCTCCACCTCTCAAAATATATTTTCTGAAACTACTGTCCCATTTTCTCTTTCCAACATGGCTATATCTACAGATTTTTAATAAAATAAAAAATATATATATAAACTACATAGCAGAAAAGTAGTCTATTAACTTATTTAATATATTTCAGACATCTAATCCTGTTGTTCTGAATTTGAAAGGCAATAGTACTCTCAAGTGTTTTCCTACAGATTTTTAAAGTTTATAATGATGCATGTTGAACATTAATAGTATACATAAAACCATGAATCAAGCTCCTTATGCAATTCACCTCCAAAATTTGTGACGCAGAATCATTGACTATATTATACAAATTGGAAGAAAAGGTCATTCCCCATAGTTGAAAAGATATTATGCTTTTAAATTTATTTTTGTGGCTATTTTTTCCAAGTCAACAATTTCATGAAGAGAAAAGCTTACAGAAATAATATAGGCCAAATTTTATGAGATTACTTTACTCTTCTTGCTGGAGTAAATGGAAGTTAGTAGGAAAAAATAAAAAGAGGTTACTTGATTAAACGTGGACACCAAAGGAAAAGAAAATAAAGGTCAGTCCAGCAAGACAGTAAAAATGAGATACAAAATAAATGGGTCTAAAGAATGGAAGAAAAAGAGACAAATTAAGGATATTTCAATAGCCATAAAGGGCAAAGAAATACATAATTACGAAAAATGAGAAGCGAAACAGAAGGGTCAAATTCATGAGCTTCAGTGCAGAGATGCTGGGCTGGGGGAAAAGCCAGATCTCCCACTTAGTATCAGTGTTATCACAGCCTCAGTGGCCCCATCTTTAAAATAATAATAGCATTACCTGTCAGGGTTTTTACAGAAGCAAGACAATGTATATCAAGTACATAGCAAAGTACCTGACAGGTGGCCAGCACTAACGTTCAGAAAACACAAGGGCTTTGGTAGGAGCACAGGAAATGAAGGGGACAGGCAGGAAACTCCTGAAGGTGCGGGGTGAACTAGGCCCGTCATCTGGTAAGTCACAGAGGTGGAGGTAGGACCTATGGCGCCTGCCTGTCAGAGCACCTCCCTGGGACTGACGTGATCCGGAGACCCTGATTCTGTCTTTGATTTTACTGTTTGCCCTCTGCAGAAGTCAGTCTCACATTCTAAAGGAATCCATCCAGATACATGTCGGTCAGTAAATGTTCATGTTACGCAGGTTTATCAAAAAGCCATGCACAAGGTTCAATCATTTTTAGAGTTTTGGAGAACTCCTTGAAGCATGAACAATGAAAATGCTCCCCCCTTTTTTCCTATGAATTATGCATTGAGCTTTATCTGCTGTTCAGAAATGGTAACATCTTTCATATTTCTTATTCTCTCCTGAGTAAAGGAATAAACTTAAAAACTGATAACTCACCCCCAAAGTTACCTAATTTTAAGGAAGAAGTAGTTGTAGGGAATTAAGTAAAGCATGCAGGTTAGACAGAATTTTGTTCTTAATGTGTTCCTGCCTTCAAAAACATTAAAGGTAAGATGACTTTTCTCAAAAACGGGAATTGTTTTTTACTTTTCAGAGAACTCTAAAATGAAAAAGGGAATAAGAATACTACATAGATGTAATCTAATGATAATATGGCTGGATTTATGATTCCTTTGCAGCAGAAGGACATCAAAGGCCCACATTTTGTATGTTAGCAATTCTGTTTATGCTTCTGTAGTTGAATAAGTATGGTGCAAAAAAATAATGGAAGTTTAGGGCTTCATCCTTAGGGGCTGAGGAACTGGGCAGAGGAGTCACTGCATGGATTCCCTCTGCCTGATAAACTGCCCATAAAAAGCATCATATTGGGGGGATTAAGCACTAATCAACTTAGACTTCAGAATCTGTGGCCAAATACATATTTCCTACTTGGCTTTCAAAAGTATTCCAGGAAGGCAGCATTATTCTCAATAGTTAAAAGGTAGAAACAACCCAAGGGTCCGTTGATGGATATGGTATATGCATAAGTGGAATATTATGCAGCCTTGAAAAGGGAGAAATTCTGATACATGTTACCATATTGATAGACCTTGAGGATATTATACAAAAGGAAATAAACCGGTCACAAAATGACAACTACTGTATGATTCCACTTGTATGAACTACTTAGAATAGTCAGAGTCACAGACACAGGAAGTACAATGGCAGTGGCCAGGGGCTGGAGGAAGGAGGGGTAAAATGGAGAGTTAGTGTTTAATAGATGCAGAGTTTCAGTTTTGTCTGGAGATGGATGATGGTGACAGTTGTGTAGTAATGTGAATGTGCTTAATGCCATTGAACTGCAAACTTTACAATGAGCAAGATTGGCTCAGTGCCTATAGCTCAAGCGGCTAAGGCACCCACATATACCAGAGCTGGCAGGTTCAAATCCAGCCTGGGTCTGCCAAACAACAATAACAACTACAACCAAAAAATAGCCGGGCGTTGTGACAGGTGCTAATTGGGAGGCTGAGGCAAGAGAATCGCTTAAGCCCAGGAGTTAAAGATTGCTGTAAGCTGTGACGCCACAGCACTCTAGCCAGGGCACCAGCTTGAGGCTCTATCTCAAAAAAATAAATAAATAAAAATAAAATGATGGTGAATTTTAAGTTATGTGCATTTTACCACAATTTTTAAAAAATCCCCAGGAGTCAGGGTTAAGAAAGCTGTCACGATCCCATTTTGATCTTGCCCTGCCTCTCTGGTATAGGGCAGTGGGTGTAGCCAAACTCCTCTCCCATCCCACCACACACAGCCCCAACCAGCTGTGTGGTCTTGAGGAATAGGACTTTTTTTTTTTTTTTTGCAATTTTTGGCCAGGGTCAGGTTTGAACCCACCACCTCCGGTATATGGGGCCGGTGCCCTACTCCTTTGAGCCATAGGAGCCGCCCTAAAAGGATAATGTTTTTTAAGGTCTATCCATGTTGTAGCATGTGTCAATGCTTTATTCCTTTTTATTAATCAATAATGTATCATTTTATGAATATATATGTATTTACTCAACTGATGCACATTTGGTGTTTCTCCTTTTTAGCTATTATGACTAGTGCTGCTGCAAACACTTAAGTCCAAGTTTTTGTGTGGACATACATTTGAGGCTATAACCAAAGAAGGAAAATTGCTCTTGGCTGTAAACCTAAGGGCAAAATTGCTGGATCATATGGTAACTGTATTTTTTTTTGTGCAGTTTTTGGCCAGAGCCAGGTTTGAACCCGCCACATCCAGTATATGGGGCAGGCGCCCTACTCCTTTGAGCCACAGGCGCACCCCCCCCCCAAAGAATAGGACGTTTTTCTGTTCCTCTCTTTCCTCACCTGAGAAGAACAAAAAACCTGCTATTGTGAGATAAGATAGTTTGATATGCTGAACAGTCTCCAAGTGTCAGGCATCTCCTAGGAATGGAATAAATGGCTCTCTTTCTCTTTGGAAAATTCTTTCCTCATTATCTCTGCTCAGTCTAGGTAGGGGGTCACCAGATGAACCTTTCTGATACCAGGTGAGGACTTTCTACCTGAGAGGTGTCATTGGTCACAAAATGACCAAAGGTTAGCAGTAAGTCAACACCTTGAGCTCCAATTCCGTGAAGCAGACACACAAAGAGGCATTTATCACTAAGAGATCATTCCCCTTTATGGGGCTTCGAACCATTGGGACCATCACAGGCACTTGCTAAGTTAATCATTACCACTTTGTGACCTCTAAAACATATTATAGAAAATGTTCCCTCATCGCCCCTCCGGTATTCAAAGCACGTCTTTCTAAATGAACAACAGCATATAATGAATCTCTGAGAAGCAAAAGACCAGCTCTGTCAATCAGAATTTCCTAATATGCAAAATTATAGTATGCAATCTCGTAATATCAAAGACATGACAAGAAAGCATCCTTTTGTTTTGAGACGTTTCTAGAGAAAATAGGGTAACTAAATGTACCACTTTATAAAGGGTTGGTGGGGTTTGTGTGTATGTGTGTTCTGTCTTTTTAGAGCCTAGTTACTCAACTAAAACTCTTCCTACAAGAATGAAAGTTAATTGTCAATTTAAATACAACAGCCATCTTTTGGCATTTTTGTTTTTAGGGTCGGTTGGTTGGTTTGGAGGCAGGGTCACACAGTGTGGCCCTGGCTGGATTCAGACTCTTGAGCTCAAATGTTCCTCCCACCTCAGCCTCCTGAGTAGCTGTGATCTTTAAGTTCGTTTTAGGAGAATAGTGAGCATCTTTTGAGGAGGCCATCTGAGCACATTGTACAGTAAGTGAAATTTGATAACGGCACTGAGACACAGCAGCCTTGAGAATCTAAATAAGTTTCATTGTCCTGTTTGTTAAAATAGCACATTAAAAAATATTGTGAAGAGCCAGCAGGATGCTCTGACAGTTAAGTGGGAGGCTCCTGGCTACGGACCATGATGCTGAGCTGTTAGTTCTCTAAGCTCATCTGTTTAGTTCAAAAATTAAAAAAAAAAAAAAAAGGAAAAGAACCGAATTGGAGAGGGGAAAACCACTCATGAGGAAAAATCTGTTCAACACATATGAAAATATTTGACTTCTATTTTTTTTTCCATACCTGGCTGCTGGCATGAAGTAAACAACTCTCCAAGAGAGGGAGAAAAAGTCTATTTTTAAAAGAAAAAAAGAAATCAAAAAGAGGAGACCCTCTGGTTTCTTGGCTGCTTTCTCCCACCTCCTCAGTCTCCCGGCACAACCAGACAAAGCTTCAGCTAGAAAGGCAGTCAGTCGTGGAAATGGGATGCTGGCCGCGTGCTTTAGTTCGGAGTCTAGCGTTGAAATTTCACAGCCAACACTTTTCTTTTTCTAGGTATGTCTTTACATGCAAAAGCTTCACAAAACAAACAAGCAAAACCTGCCATGTTCCATCAAGGTAATTAATACGTTGAGATGCCTACCAGCCACTTGTGTCAACATCTGGTCACTTCTCGCCGAGCCGTCATCATAATGTTCAAAAAGAGAGAAGGCAGCGGGCATTTTCTCTAACGAAGCCGTGCTCTCCATGGCAGAAAGCAACCTACAGCAACAGAGAACTCTACATAAGTCAAGAAGTCATTAACACACAGAATGAAAGCGGAACCCAGTTGTTCACAATGAAGCTGGTGTTGGCAGTGGTGGTTTTTATAAGGCAGAGCCTCTTAGTATATCCCCAAAGGGTGTAAACAGTTTCGAAATCTGAAAATACGCCTCAAAGCTCTTTATTATGAGAGTTATTGGGCAACTGGTAATATTAGAAACTTCATTCCTCTGTCCTCCAATTAGAAAAGATACTATCCAATTAGATGGTCTTAAATTTCCTATCTACAAAGTTAGTCCTAAAAATGACTTCCTTTTAATGGTTATTTTCTTTATTTTCTAAGGGATATAAATGCTCAGAGTCCATCTGGAAACCTATACACTGTAGGATGGCCTTGTTCTCAGACCTCAATGTGGAGCTTTTAGACGTTTGTGATTCAAAAAATACTGTCCCCCTACTATGTGCCAGGCACTGTACTAGATAATGGGGTAAAGTCAAAGAGGGTAAAGTCCACCCTTCTGAAAAGACTAACCAAGCCACAGCTTTCGAACTAAGGGCTTTTATAGGCTCAAGGCCCTCTTAGGAGGAATGCCAGCGGATGCTAGCGTTTGTTTCCAGGTGAAATCTGGATTTAAATAAACAAACACAGGTTAACTCTGGAGGGGGTGAAAGGGAAAAAAGAGTTTGCAAACAAATGTATGTTTCGCATGAAAATTAGGAGCCCTCCCCTGTGCCCTCCCTGACACCAGGCTGGTTTTCTCTTCCTGCAGCTAAAAACCCCAAGACCTGCCCAGGCAGGTGGACTTTGGCTTTCCCAGCACAGAGGGTCTCGCTGGCTGCTGGGACTTTGTTTTCCCAGGTAGTTGCCTGACTCCTTCCTTCGCTTGATTTCAATCTCTGTTCAAATGTCAGCTCCTCAGAGAGGTCGCTGCTCAGGCAGCCCTGCCGGCCCCGCCCCCCCTCCTCAGCTTCCTGTTCTCCCTCAAATTTCTCATCATCTGTTTGGGTTTTATCCATCTACTACTTCACCAAAATACAATTTATACTCAGAAAGGATGTTCTTTTATTCACTACTGTATTGTAATTCATTCCTTGGCACATGCTGGGCACATGCCCATCTATAAATATATTTGAATGAATGAGAGGCCAATGGTTTTGTTGAGGCAAAGATAACAGGCTTTCAGTGTGCTGGATTTTGGTAAGTATGAAGGAAAAATGTTATAAAATATAACTGAAATCTTTTTTCTTTTTTTTTTTTTTTAGAGACAGTCTCACTTTGTCACCCTGGGTAGAGTGCCATGGCGTCACAGCTCACAACAATCTCCAACTCCTGGGCTTAAGTGATTCTCTTGCCTCAGCCTCCCAAGTAGCTGGGACTACAGGTGCCCACCACAACACCCAGCTATTTTTGTTGTTGTTGTTGTTGTTGCAGTTTGGCTGGGGCCAGGTTTGAACCCACCACCCTTGGTATATGGGGCTGGCACCTTACTCACAGAGCCACAGGCACCACCCTAACTGAAATATTTAAAGAGTGCCTTGCACACTTAACAAGTGTTAAAAATAATATGGTTCACTATCATCTGATTTAGGGGAGATGGTTCCAATAGGGCTTCAAACAGGGGGTATCATTTGAGCTGGGTCTTAAAGAATGAATAGGAGTCTCCTAGGCAGAAAAGGGAGTAAGGGCATTCCAGACACAGCCTCGTGATCAAAGGCATGGAGATGTGAACAAGTGCAGTACACAGAAGGGCAGGTCCCATGAGAGAGTTGAGACACAGTTAGGGATAGAACAGAAAAGGCAAGGAGATCCACAGAATTGTCATAAAAGGGAAATTTAGAAGCATATCCTGACAAGTATCTGAGGAAGGCACAGGCAGTCAGACTAGAGAGGCAGTGAGGTTAGCGGAGAGGACCCTATAATAGTCCCGGTGAGGGCAGACAACACGAGCCTAACTTAAGGCTTTGGGGCTGCAGAGGATGGAAATGATAGACTCAGAAATCACAAAAAATGGTGACTCGTGCATACGCTAAGCCCTTTCACGACACATCACTGACTAAATGTAGGACTTTTGTAGCATAAAAGCTCTGGTTGTAGACAACACAAGCAAAATGTTTGCATTTCCCCTTATGCACTGACCTGTTCAATTTTAACATCAGCATGTGAAATGGCAAGACGGTATCTTTTTATAAGCAGGTCCTACAATGGCTGTGACTCTTTTTCTCATTATAATAACACAAAAGAGCAAAATGAAGAAAAAAATGAATCCCCTTACAGAACAGCATTTTCTAAGCAAATGTGTTTTTCAAGATATGCAAATGTTGAGTCTAAATATGTTTGACAGCATCCTTTAATTTAAGCATTTTTAGTGTTGCAAAAAAAAAATCATTTCATATACAAGCACTGCCTTTGGAGACAGAATTTGAAGGAGAAAAGGTAAAATAAACTACAGCTGACCCTTGAACAAACTGGAGGTCAGGGGCACCAATCTCTCCTGTAGTCAAAACTCCATATGTAACTTTTAACTCACTCAAACTTAACTACTAAGAGCCTACTGCTGACAAGAATCCTTAACCAATAACATAAACAGTTAGTTAACACATATTCTGCATGTTATATGTTATATACATTGTATTCCTATAATACGGTAAGCTAGAGAAAAGAAAATGTTATTAAGAAACTCTTAAGGAAAAGATATTACAGTACTATACTATGTCTACTGATACCAGGAGTTCACATCATCTGTTTACAAGACAAATTGCCTGTGGGAAACAGCAAGTAACCACAGTATATGGTACATCCTGAGTGATTCAGCAAAGTCAATGTCATGACTTTGCTTCTTGGAAGCACTTTTAGCATCATTAGTGGCACTTCCTATGAGGCCCATAGTGTTAGTCAAGGTTATGATACTAAACAAGATGAAAAATACACAAGAACCTTAGGAGATCACTTTTTATTTCAATATACAATTTACTGGAGAGACCAAGTACTGACTCAGAGAGTCACAAAGAGTGTTAACTGGAAAGTCGCAGCACTGAAACTCACGGCAATAGCAAGAGGAGGTGGCTAGGAAATTATCACAATAGTACAGCATGTATGTACTATAGTTAACTTTATGCTGTTATCGTTTATTTTTCATCTTTTTTTGTTGCTGAGACAGTCTCACTCTGTCACCCTGGGCACAATGCAAGTGACATCAGCCTAGCTCATAGCAACCTCAAACTCCTGGGCTCAAGCGATCCTCCAGCCTCAGCCTCCCAAGTAACTGGGATTACAGATGCCCACCACAATACCTAATATTTCTATTTTTGGTAAAGACAAAGTCTCACTCTTACTCAGGCCGGTCTTGAACTCCTGAGCTCAAGCAATCCACCTGCCTCAGCCTCCCAAAGTGCTAGGATTACAGGTGTGAGCCACCACACCTGGTCTGCAGTCGTTATTTAATATCACATCTTTGTGTTTATTTACATTTCTCTTGATTGTAAATGGTACCACGGACCATTGTGTTTGCATCCATAAGTTTTGATAAATTTTAACTTTTCATAGTAGATTTGTGTATATTTTATGGTAGTAAGTGACAAAACACATTTATATTTTATGCATTCATAACATACCTCACTTTGTCTTAATTCCTTCAATATTTCTAGGCTACACGGTTCATCTTCAAATTGTCATAAATCTCCAGAAATTTTTCCAATATATTTATTGAAAAAAATGCGCATGGACCCACACATTGTAAATCCATATTGTTCAAGGGTCAGCTGCAGATAATTTGCACTCCTTATGGAAAGGAACACTCATAACGTTGAGACTTTGAGGTGTAAGTTTTCTTAAGAATATTGAAGGCTTTATAGTGAAACAATCAAGCGTCATCATGTGTGCGCATGTACAAAGCACACATGCTCATGTCTGTGGATCTGTGTGCTGTGTGTATGTGGTGCGTGTGTGTGTGTGTGTATCTGCACTTGTTTGACAGGCCTTTCTTTAGTTACTTACATTTCTTCACCAAATCCCAGAATTTTGTTGTCTTTTTTTCTTTACAGAAAAATACTGGCTACCCCAAGTGTACTATCCTTTTGGGGACATGCAGCTTTAGTAAAGATTAATTCATTGTCAGTTGGACAATGAAATAGAAATTAATTAAAATGACACACAGATGAGCAAAGATTAAGCACAAAACCAAAGAAATGGTATTGGTATTAAATGGGCATCGATTTATATTAGCAATATTCTAATGGTTAGAAAAGTAAAAACAAACATTCTGTTAAGTTTTTTTAAGGGCAAAGCATATGCAAATTTTCATTCACCAAATTTTGTTACTGATCAATATCTTCCATGAATGAATAAAATATAAATAAGCAAATATACATCTACACTGTCCACTGTATATGGAATGGCACTATAGATGCATATACTTTTTGGGTAAACATAAATATCAATAATATTTAGAAAAAAATGTATAATGTATTTTAAAAATAAAGATGTTTGGGACCTAAAGTCTTCCTCCTCCTCCTCCTCCTGTCCCTCCTCTCCTTCTTCCTCTTCTCCTATACCTGGTTCCATCCTAAGAACTCACTGGAAAGACCTTAGCCCACCAGAACCTTCCAGCAAGCTGTGGAATCTTCCTCCCCCTATGCCCAGTATAAAAACAAGCCAGGCCAGGTGGCACTTGTGGCTCACAGAATAGGGCAGTGGCTCCATATACTGAGAGTGGCAGGTTCAAACCCAGCCCCGGCCAAAACTGCAAATAAAAAAAAGGCCAGGCAGGTCTCTGTCCCCTGTCATTAAACTTGGCCTGAACCTCTCAGGTCTCATCTCTGGGTACAGCACTGAACCCCTTAAGGGAACTGCAAATAAAGCCTGAGTGTAAGCTTCCAGAACTGCCTGTGTGTTTTAGACTCATCTGTGGCAATTGGTAACAAGCAAATGCTTAGTCACATTCCAGAAATTCTGATGTAGTGGATCTGGAGTGGGGCCCCAGGGTCTTTGGTAAAACAAGTTACACAGGTGATTTAGGCACAGCCAGCTTGGGGAAACACTGGGCCAGTGGAAAGATTGCTATAAACTAGAATTTTCAACTCTGGTTACATATAAGAATCATCTAGGTCTAGGAAGCTTTAAGAATGCCCAGCTATACCCAGATCAATTAAATCAGAATCTCAGGAGAAAAGATTGAGATATCAACATTTTTTAAAGCTCCCTGGGGGAATTCTACTTATCACTGTCACTTACTGCATAATGCTAATATTAATATACACATTATTTTCATAAACTTATTGGCAATATTCTCTTGAATAGAATTTTTATAGGTAAATAGGATTCATTCATGTGGTTTCAACTATCTTTTTTAAAAAGTCATGTTTTAATCCAAATCCATTTTCCCATATTTTAATACATTACCAAGACAAATTTCTGATTTTACTCTATGCTGTATCACAATTTGAATTGGCATGGAAATAAACTGAAGATAATATTTACAATTTAGAAATTTACATTTAAAATTACATTAAAAAACATTAGGCTCAGCCAGTTGGAAATAAAACCTCACATCTCGCTATGGGGCAAAAGGGAAAATTTGTCAGATCTGTCTGAGAATTTCAACATCAGATGCTCTAAAAGATAAACATAAATCTGATGTTCTATGTTTCTATAGACAACATTTTCTAATTTCTCCTTGAGCGTTTTACCATTTGAAAGAATAAAGAATTCTCTCAGACTGAGTGTTAGAAACAACAGCAAAACAAATTACAAAAGGAAGGTTCATTTAGGTTAGCCGAGCAGACAGAGGAGACAAATGCTTGGCTATCTTTTGAAAAGAAAATGAGAGAACATCCCATGAAGGTTACATAAGTCATAAAATGACTCGAGGCAGATATGAATGATTCTTTCAAATACTCGAATTTAATGAGTAAGGGTACAGACCTACAAAATGCTCTCTATGCCAGGACAGGAAAGATGGTGTAGATTAGGCTGAGAATATAGAATAGATCTCAAAGAAGCAGTTAAAAATCTACATTATGATAACTGTTATTTAACGAAAGCACATGCAATTTTCTTTCAAATCTGTCATTTAACTTTTCAAAGTGCTATATCTAAAAGTGAAAATACAGTAGCCCACCAAACGTATGGTTTTAATTGGCAGCTCACTTTCTATAAAGCATCAAAATATTAACAAGGAAGCATCCAGTCATGCTCTTCTCAGCCATTACCACATTGTGCCATGTTTTATGTACCTGTCATTGATTTCCTCAAATGACTTATGGAGATGGAGGGGAGAAGGGAGAAAGAGAGAGAGAGAGAAACGAATTAACCAAAAGAAAAATCAACGGAGAGTATGAAGATCAAGGCTATTTGAAGATCATTACCCCTAAGCTTCCCGGAGGTTGTTTTTCTTGGGGGGAGGGGCGGCCCTGGACAGGGACAGGAGGGGCTCCAGTGTACAGTTCCTTTGGCTCTGCTCTCCAGGGTCAGCAAGGCTGCCTAAGAGGGGCTCACGTTGACTTCTCTACTCATTAACAAGTGGCTTAGCTCCCAGAATTGAAGTCTCTGAAGCAAGACAAATGTCTTCAATTTGTTCAGTGTGGGATATGTATTAAAAATGTAATCCGTAGTTACCTGACTGATCATTGGTCTGTGCTTTTCTGTATTTTCCAACTTTTCTAAAATGAATATATGATATGTCACTTTTAGAAGCAGAAAAAAACTGCCTCCCCCCCCTTTTTTTTTTCAAAATTGTACTTCTAAGAGAGAACGAAATTTTCTTATTCTTATCAAACAAAGATAAAGTTCTCAGGGAACACAAAGCACTTTTTTAGTGGTATTCTTCACAAGAGGTGCCTAATTTAAAAAACATTAAAGCCTTGCCTTAGTCACACAGAAAGCGAGCTACTGAGTTTAGTTCTCCTTTGAGGATGACCATATCTATCCATGTCACTCAAATTTGCCCTGGTTGGAGGTGTCCCAATTAGTAAACCAAAAGGCTAACATTGCTCCCATTTTGTCTTGCTCTATCTCCAAGGGTTAGGAAGATGGGGAACTGTCATCACAACATGGAGCTTTCCCCATGTGACAGTCAGGCCTGGGATTCCCCTCAGAAAAACATTTCCATTATACCTGCTGAATCCCAGCTCCATGGAGAAGCAGCATCTTACTGAAGGTTCTAGGGAATTATGGGAGCAAAGAGCTGTCTCAGTGGTACAATTTAAGGAGCAGCCAAGGGTTATCCTGTCTACAAGTTAGTTGCTCGAATTACGGAATCCTGTTCCTAGGATGTCCTTTGCAAAAATGTCAACATCCTTATGGCCTGAGAGAGAGGTACCACATACCAAAATGTTACTCTCAGCTACTTGTTAAGGCTCAAAGGGAATGGTCCATATGCGTGGTCACTTCCGATTAGGGAGTGGAGAGGACAGGCTCAGGGGTCAGCATGAGGACACTAGGCACTGGAAAAGAGGGCTGACCCTCCGAGGGAGGGTGTGGCATGAATAAGGCATTAAGGCTGCTTTCTCTCCCCCTTAGAAAGAAGGTGACAGATCTGGTATGACAGGCATAATGATGACACTGTAGCCCCACTCCGCTCCAGCTACACTGTAGCTCCAGTTCTTCAACTGGCTCTGAGCATTAGGTTTGCATGATTTGCTAGATCTTTCTTATAGGCATCAGGCCTGCCTAAATAATTTTTAAATGCCAGAATTATTTAAACCCTACACAGAGATATAAATGATCTTAAGGGAGATAGAAAGATGAAGTTTTCAAAGTAGACGTGCTCAGAGTGAGCACAAGGTGTTTGGGCCCATTTCACTTGGCGCTTACGGTCAGAAAGACGGCCTCGTCGAGCTCCTCTGCTTCTCTCACAATGGTCTCCAAGGTGTCCTTGGCAGTGTCCATGCTCTGCAGAAAGCTGACCATCTGCTCGTGCAGGAACTCCATCTTCTTCTTCTTTACTTCCTCAAAGCTCTGGGCTTTCTCATCATATTGTGCCAAAACCTTCTTCATCATTTCCTCATTCTGTTCTTCCAGCCTTTTCTCATTTTTGCTACAGTTTTCCTAAACACAAACAACAACAACAACAAAAAAACCCCACCCAGTTCTGAATGAAACAAGAAGTGCACGTTTTTTGTTTTGTTTTTGGTGAAACACCAACCGTTTAAAGAATTTACCTCCGATATCCTGATCAGAGAATCAGACATCATGTATGCCGTCTAAATTTCCAACCTACTAACCTGCTTTGCCGTGATTAGCTTTGCAATAGAATTTACTGTGAGAGTATCAGCAAGAAGCTCCCAACACTTTTAACTACTGAAATACAAAAACATTAAATGAAACAAAGATGTTTGTATGGGAAGTCTTACCACCTTGTACTCCAACATGATGAAACTTGAAAATGGCATCATAGTGAGTGAGGACACTGGCCTCAGCAGTGGAGAAGGGTTAGCACCATTTCACCACTCCGCTGAAATCAGAGTGTGAGGGAGGGAGCAGCCAGGATGCTAAACAGGGAGCTACATTCCCAGAAGTTCCCCAGTGAGGCCACAGCTTCTACCACCGTGGGGGAAACTTTACTGCCCATCTGAACACAGCCAGATGCCTGGCTATCCTCACCGGTGCTAGCTGTAAGGTGATCACATCATTTACTGTCTAAGAGGAGCACTTGGGGGAGGGGACACTACAAATAATTAGCAGGTGTTACTTGATTGGCAACAGGAGGTAAGCAGGCCTCTCACAAGGAAATCAGGACGTGGAGCAGTAGGGAACCATGGAGCAGAGGAGGAACTAGGCAACAGCCTTCTGCAGTGGCCTTGGGGCCTCTGCCACTTGTGGTTGACAGGTGAGGGTGCCTGGCTATTTCTGTATAAGAACGGAACATCACTCTCCCCACCCCTCACTGTGGAAGGGGCAGGAGCCAGCAGCCACAAGAGCATAAACTCTTCAGAGACAGTTATACCATGAGAGACACTCATCAGCCCTGGGCAGGGGACATTCTGCAGTAACTTAGAGTATTTCAGCAGAGCTAACCCAGTGAGAGGCAGGAAAGTGGAGCAGTGTACTTTAAGATTATCATTCCCATCTATACAATGGGAATAATAATAATAGCTCATATCTTATAATGTTGTGAGGATTCAATTAGGTAAAGCATATAAAGCATTTGCCCTATTACAGTAAGTGCTCAATAAATGCATGTTTGCTTTGAAGGGCAATTCTTTTATCCTTAGGCAGAAAGTAGTCTCATACGCTTAGAGGGAAGACTTTAAGGGTCCTCACTTTGTCCTCATGGACAAAGTGAAACAGTCAAACCAATAATGGCAAACAACACATGCACACCCCCCCCCCAAATCAGATCCTTTTAGCTCAGAATCATTTACTTAGGATCTTGTGAACAAACCAGGTTAAAGCAAAATGGACAAGTTAACTTACCTCAATGGTATTAAAAAAGGATTCTATCTCACTAACAAAGGCTTCAATCCTCAAGGACTTTTCCTGTAAGTTTTCTAGAAATTCTGCTAATTGAACCTAAAGAAAGAATTAAGACATCCTTAGTATATGGCCTGTGGAAAAGAATTTCAACCAGTGAATTCCAATTTCCTTATAAATTTAGTACGTTTGGTAGAGATCCATTATATCCACTAACAAATCAATCTTTAAATTTTCTTTGCTGCTTCATCTAAATTGACTGTAGATAATTCTGTATGATAAATCACTTGAAGGCTGTGAGTGGGAACCTCAAAGCAACAATAAAAGGGGCTGTTTATTTTCTTATGCAAAAGAAAAAAACTTTTTGGTAACTTCAGCTCAAAGCATACTTATTTTAATGAACTTTGGATGTGAATGCTTTCTCCTTAGTTTGACCTCGATTTTTATATTTTCTGAGAGAGCAAGCAGTCTCACTAATCTGTCCAATATATCTGAGTAGTTTCTTCACACTTGTGCCCATGGCCTCAGATGTGGCTGGAAGACCTGATTCTAGGATGGTGACCAGGGTGACACCAGGCCAGAAGTCTAGCATATCAAATGATAGACACCACCTACTAAAGAGATCTAAAAGTTCTGATGACCCTGAAAGGGTCAAAATACTCAAGAGGTTGGGCTACACTCACACCTACTATCCTAGCACTCTGGGAGGCCAGGCAGGTGGATCCCCTGAGCTCACTGGTTTGAGACTAGACTGAGCTAAAGCAAGACCTTGTCTCTAAAAATAGCTGGGTGTTGTGGCAGTCACCTGTAGTCCCAGCTACTCAGGAGGTTGAGGCAAGAAAAATCGCTTGAGCACAGAGGTCTGAGGTTGCTGTGAAGCATGACACCATGGCACTCTACCAAAGGCAACAAAATGAGACTCTGTCTCAAAAAAAAAAAAATACTCAAGTGGTGACAGTCAAACAGAAAACTTAGGGGGTGATGGGGGAGGATGGTCTCTACTTTATTCATAGTTACAAACCTAGCAGTAGTCAACCCTGCTAAAGTTAGAAAATAACGTAACAGAATAAGAGTGTCAGCTGCCTGGTTGACTATATACAGAACAATGAAGATCCCACACTGTTGGAGGCCTGTTTAGGATCTGGCCTCCGCTTCCCTCTGTGACCCTTACCTCTTCTCCCAAACCCTCAGACTCCAGTCTCACAAGCTGCATCTTTTCCCTGGACCCTTTCTCACCTGTGTGGCTTTCCATACGGTATTCCCTTCTCTCTAGCATGTTGCTAGAAGAGCTCTATCTCATTTAAGGCTCACCCAAATTTCACCCCTTAGAGACAGTTTCCCTAACCCTGCCCTGCCCACCCCACCATTTCACTCTCGAAAGTGAATTTCTCAGAACATTGTACTCCCACAGCCTCGTACAGATTTGAGGGACCTGCAAATCCATCTTCTCTTTTTTTTCATTCCCAATGATTAATACAGTCCCTGACACAGAGCGTGAGATCGTAAAGATTAACAATGACGGAAGGGAGTGAGTGAATGAAGAAAAGAACTAACAGACAAAAGCTAAGTGCACGGTGGGGAGGGCTGGGGAGGAGACACAGGATGGTCTGTAAATGCAGCCGTCAGCTCCTGAACAGACACAAATGCCTCATCCTGAGATGCTAGAGAGCTCTCAATTCACACCTTTTTCAATTGATTTTTATTCTGAGAGTTGTCAACCAACTCTTAATCTTCACAGCTGACTTAATGAAATGAAGCAAAATCCCTTCGCTTTTGTTAACTGAGTTTCCACTTTCTTCTTCTCATACTACTTAGAGAAGATCAAGAATACCAATTTTTAAAATGATTTCAAGGGCTACTGCTCATGCCTATAATCTCAGGAACTTGGGAAGCTGAGGTGGGAGGATCACTTGAGTCCAGGGGTTTGAGGCCATTCTGGGCAACATAGCAAAGCCCTGTCTCTAAAAACATGAAAAAAGGGTGAGCTGGATCAATTATGGACTAAGGCTGAGGCAAAACAAATAAATAAATAAATATTTGCAAACAAAAAAAGCTACCTGAGTGTGGTACTGGGCACCTATAGTCCCAGCTACCTACTTGGGAGGCTAAAGTGGGAGGATCACTTAAGCCCAGGAGTTTGAGGCCACCCTGAGGTATGTTTATACCACTGTACTCTCGTGCAGGTGGCAGCATAAGACCCCATCACTAAAAAGTTAAGAAATAAGATAAAATAATTTTAAGGCAGGAGACATCATATCTCCCTATTTATGAAACTTGTTTCAAACTGATATTTAGATAATTATTTTTTTAATTTCTAAAACTCATGGAAGTAAAACATAGTTAAGAAGGATCCAAAAAATACTATCAATTAAAAAAAAAGGAAAAACAAGTTCTGTCTTCTTTCTGCTGACAGAAGTGATTAGTTAACAAAACCAGGTATCACCACAGAATGCTAATGCATCTGATGTCTGAGATGTCACAAATAAGCTGCCCCCTCCCTAGCTCCAAATTTTAACAAGATTCTACAAAATTTCACCCTGGAGAAACAGAACCAATTATCAGACAAACTGAGAAGGATTAATTTGGTAGAAAAAAAATGCCAAGATTCTAATTTTTACTGTATTGAATCAAAATGAGCCTGACAATTATTTAACAGTGACCTAATGGAATGATCATACTGAAAATCACTACCATTAGCAGGGCACTGAGCCAAACAATGTGGATACACAGTCAAGAGCATGAGCTCAGACAGACCTCTGTACCAAGCCCAGTTCTACCTCCCATGACGATGGTCAAACCACTTAAACACTCTTACTGTGTTCAGAACTCTTAAGACCATTTAACACTTCATTATCTGTAAACCGATGACAGGGTTGTTTTAAAAAGCACAAGATATCCTGTATAATAAAAAACTTAACACAGTACCTGGCACAGAGTTAGTGCTCAATTCTTGTTATTTGCTAATTTTAAGATCATTGCAAGAGGGAGGCAAGATGATTTTTCCTTCTCAGAAAAAAGGAAAAATTTTAGATCGGGGGGAGCAACATAGCCCACATGTAATTCTGAGGGAAAGTGCCAGAACCTATCGGAGATTCCACAGGAAGAAATTATGGAGCAGCAGAAAGAAGAAGCGAGATTTCGGCAGAGATCAACTATTTGGAGTCCCACGGCGAGAGTAGGTTGGGGTGCTTGTTTTTCCTCCCCTCACACCTCTGGCAGACTGCGGGCTCCCAAGCTGCTCGGAGTGTCTCCACCCTCAGGAGCCCACATGCTGCTGCTGCCAGTGAACTGGGAGCTTCTTGGGGACAAAGCACCAGCTGCCAGCCCCCTTGGTGTCACTCTCCTGCCACAGACCTGAGTGGAGTGGCAGGCGCCATACAGCTTCCCCTCCCATTGTGTGCCTGTGTCCTCCCCAGGGAGCTTTAGCCCTCCAGTTTTCTCGTCACTGGTCCCCACACAAACATTTCCCAAATTCTGCCCAGACCAAGTGGCCATAGGGGGCTGGTGGGTCTCAGGGGAACTGTGTGATCCCAGAACTTGGACTTCAGGGCAGGCTGCCTTCAGGGTTGAGGAGAGTGCAGCAAGCCAGAGGGGCCCCTAGGAACAAAAGGGAGCAGAGTGCCAACTGCTCTCCTCCAGTCAGACTTTTCTCTTCCTCTTCCCCTCCCCCACCCACAGCTGCCAGTACAGCCATGGCAGTTCTGACAAGTCTGCATGGGTGCCCTAAGGGACGACTGAGCAGAGGCTGTCAGGAGCAGCCGCTTTCCCTCTGTTGGTGCACCTATGACACTAAGGCTTCCACGAAGAGTGTGGCTCATGCCTTTCCTCTTAAAGACCTGCAGTGGATCAAGAGGTGCTCGGACTGTGAGCTTCCTGCCCGCTGGCCCTCCTCCATGCTGCTCACCGGGCTACTGCAGCAGAGCAGGGCAGACCCCAGAGTGGAGGGTCATTAAGCCTGCTTGAGCACCCCATGGGAAACTCAGGACCAGGATGCTTCCTCCTGCAGAGTCAGGGATTAAACTTGGGAGATCAAAAGATAGGCCTGCAGGCTGGATCCCATACCTCCGGGACTCAGTCATATTGCTGGGGACATGGAGGGAAGATATATGAACTACTTGGGAGTGAAGGTAGCCCACGTCGGTGTAACTGAAAGGAAAATGTGGTATGGGGCAGAGCTGCAGCATGCTTGCTGATCACCCTTCCCCACCCACAGGGAAGATGACCTTTTGGTCTGGAGTAGAATTCTGGGCATACAAGCTCCTAGCCCATGACACCAGTGCCTTAAGCTTGGCTAGTTTGGGCTGCTGCTCATGGCCAGATGCCAGAAGGAGACCCATGGGTCAGGAAAGAGGGAAAAGAGTAAAACCCATTCCTGTCTTTCAGACTGAATCCCAGACTGCCCCTCCCCTGTGAGCAGACTTTCTAGTTTGGTGGGGCTGCTTCAACCCCTCCCTGGTGGCTTTCCCCAGCCCCACCATGCTTCAGCTGCAGTAGAGCATAAGAAGGAGTGACTTGGGAGTTCCAGGGCCCTGCCCTTGGCCTGGGACATCTGAGTACTTCTATAATCAACCAGAGCCAGTCACAGGTCTTGGAAAACACCATTGCAGAGGGCTCTTTTCTATAAGTGCCATCCACTGGCAGGGATGACAAATTATACAGCCCATTACAGTATTTACTAATTTAATCATACAGGGCATGGCTAACTCTTGCCCACAAGTGCCATCTGTTGACTTAGAGATTAAACTGGGCATCTCATTATAATTCATACTGTTAATAAGACCACAGAGTTGGAGAAAGAGAAAAGATTTCAAAGACCTCCATCTCCCCTTGTCAACAATAGGCAGGGAATCTGCCTACACACACATAGTACACCATCCTACAGCCTACAAATAATTAGCAACTGAGAAAACCACCATGCCAAAGATATCTATAACCAAGGTATCCCATCCAGAACCTAGACCCACATCAAAGTACCCACAGGCAAAGTGAAAGGTCCTTACCCAACATGTCCTACAGCAGCAGTTCTCAACTTGTGGGTCATGACCCCTTTGAGGATCGAATGACCCTTTCACAAGGGTCACCTAAACACATCCTGCATATCAAGATATTTATATTATGATTAATAACAGTGGCAAAATTACAGTTATGAAGTAGCAACAAAAATAATTTTATGGTTGGGGATCACCACAACATGAGGAACTGTATTAAAGGGTCACAGCATTAGGAAGGTTGAGAACCACTGTCCTACAGGCATGCCCTTAAGAGTTGAGAGGGTAGGGGTTTCCATCTAAACAAAAGAAAATTCAAAAACAAGAAGCCACAGTCTTTCCAGATGAGATGCAAGAACTCACGAAGTATGAGAAATCACAGTGAAAGGACTTTTTGCCAAAGGAGCACACCTCTACCAATGAATCTCAACCAAAATGAAAATATTGAAATGACAGATAAAAGAACTCCAAATATGGATTGTAAGAAAGTTCAATGAGATCCAAGAGAAAACCAACTGGAAAAAACCAGGGCTGGGTTTGAACCCAACACCTCCGGCATATGGGGCTGGTGCCCTACCCTTTTGAGCCACAGGTGCCGCTCGAAATCAAAAAATTTTTTAAAAATGAATTGAATGTTTACTAAAGAACACTGATGAAAGAAATCACAGATGACACAAACTGAAAAATATCCCCTGCTCATGGATTGGTAGAATCAACATAGTTAAAGTGTCTATACTACCCAAAGTGATTTACAGATTCAACACAAGCCTCATCAAATTACAAGTGTCATATCTCCCAAATCTAGAAAAATTAACCCTAAGCTTCCTTTAGAATGACAAAAGAGCCCAAATAGCCAAAGCAATCTTAAGCAAAAAGAAAAAAACTAGAGGCATCAATCATATCATTAGAGTTCAAATTATGCTACAAGGCTATGGTAACCAAACAGCATGATACTGGTATAAAAGTAGACCCATAGACCAATGGAACAGAATAGAGAACCCAGAAATTAAATCATCTACCTGCAACCAACTGGTCTTCAATAATGCAGCCAACATACACTTGGGAAAAGAAATCCTACTCAATAAATGGTTCTAGGAAAATTGGATAGCCACATGTAGAAGGAACCAGGATCCCAATCTCTCACAATATAAAAAAAAAAAAAATTCAAGATGTATTAAAGACTAAAATGTAAGGCATGAAACCACAAAAATTCTAGGAGTAAATGTAAGAAAAACTCTCTTAGACATTGGCCTAGGCACAGAATTATGACTAAGATCCCAAAGACAAATACAGCAACAATGAAAGAAGCAAATGGGACTTAATCAAATTAAAAAGCTTCTGCGCAGCAAAGGGCATAATAAACAGAGTAAATGTACTGCTTACATAATGGGAGAGAATATTTGCAAAGTATTTTTTTAGAACTTTTTATTTTTTTTTAATTAAATCATAGCTGTGTACATTAATGCAGTCACAAAATATTTCCACACAATGGAAATTAAAAGCTAGCAGGAGTAGCTAGCTTTAGATGAAAACAGACTTTAAATAAACAATGGTTAAAAAAAATAAAGACAAAGATGGTCACTACATAATAATAAAGGGATCAACTCAACAAGAAGATCTAATAATCCTAAATATACATGGACCTACAAGAGTGCCCAGGTTCATAAAGCAAATTCTACTAAATCTAAGGAAAGAAATAAACAGCAACAACATAATTGCTGGAGACTTAAACACTCCACTGACAGGACTACACAGATCATCAAGGCAGACAATCAACAAAGAACACTGTTCTCAAATGGGCCAAACAGATGTTTATAGCAAATTCTACCCCAAAACTGCTGAATATACATTTTTCTCATCAGCACATAGGCCATTTCCCAAGGTAGATCATTACAAAGTGATGAAGAAACATGGAAGAGTTTTTCCAAAATAAGATCTACAAGTGGCCAACAGACATATGAAAAAAGGGCTCAACATCACTAACCATCAGAGAAAGGCAAACCAAAACCACAATGAGATACTGTCTTACCTCCTGCCAGAATAGCTATTATTTAAAAATCAATAAACAATAGATGTTGGTGTGGATGCAGTGAATACGGAATGTTTATACGTTATTGGAGGGACTGCAAATTAGTAGAACTTCTATGAAAAACAGTGAGGAGATTCCTCAAAGAAATAAAAGTAGGCCTACTACTCAACCCAGCAATCCCACTCCTGGGTATCTACTCAAAGGAAAAGAAGTCATGTTCCTCACAGGCAGTGACCCTGTGTTATTTATCTCCGTATCTCCAGAACCTGGAAAAATGCCTGGCACATTTTGGAGATGTGTATACAGTCATCTCCAGCATCTACAGGAATCTGGTTCCAGGGGTTCCCAGCAGATACCAAAATCCACAGATGTTCAAGTCCCTGATATAAAATGACATAGTATTTTCATATAACCTATGTACATCCTCCATTATATTTTAAATCATCTCTAGATTATTATGATAGCCAATATGATGCAAATGCTATATAAATAGTATTACATTGTATTTTTTTATTTATGTTATTTTTATGGCTATACTGTTATTCTTATTGGGTTTTTTCCCCAAATATTTTCTGCAGTTGGTTGATTGATTCCAAGAATGCAAAATTCAAAGATACCAAGGGCCAGCTGTACTCAATGAGTTGTCAAATCAAACTTAACTAAATTCTTGGAGAAGTATTCTCCATTTGCTTTTGTCACATATAATGCACACTTCTCTGCAGTCAGGGGTGGGGCTGGTGGCAGGGCTTGTGAGGCAGGCCACAGCTGTGTCAGGTGAGGGCCAAGGCTTGAGGCCCAACCACACAGAGGGGACTGGGAGCCCCAGCCAGGCCCCAGGGACCTTCCTGGCTGCCCAGGGGCCCAGCAGCCTCAGAAACTCCCGCCCCACCAGCACGTGCATGGCCATCTTGGCCATGGCCCTTGACATGGCAGGCAGGGCAGGGCTCCTGGGAGAGAGGGAAGGAGCAGCCTTCACAGACTGGGAGGGGTGAGAGGACAGTGCAGTCTCCACATTTACTAGGGGAGTGTAAGTCCTTCCCAAGAGCCAGCCACTTTCTCAGGAGGCATTTTCCTGAAAGTCTGGGCAAAAAATGTGTGCGCACAGTATATGTGGGAGCACATTATACCCAGCAAAATATAGTAATTATTCTGCTTACAGATGAATGTATCAAATATTGGTCATTTTTTAAACTGAGAAAATGTGAAAGCAAATTAAATGCATATGAATTATTAATTATTTGTATGTTTTTAAATCTATTTACCTTTACAGCACTTATAGCTGTGTCAAGTGTTGAAACCTCATGGCTTTTGTGGATACCAGATGCCTTGTCTGTAGCAGAAATTGGGCTTTTGCAGGTGTAGCAATATGCATCAATCTGGGGCTTTTTCAGTTCTGTGTGTGTCTTTTCAGTTACTAACTCTGATGATAACTGATTTGGTTCTTTCCTCTCTCTGCTCAATTCTTCCTGTTCAACAGACGTACTTTGTTCTACCTCGCTGGTAAATTCAGTTTCACATCCTTTGATACGTTCAAAGGATTCCTTTCTTTGAGATGATACATCTTCAAGTGTGGATTCTGGATATAGTTCTTCTGGTGAAGTGTCTTGAGTAACCACTTCATAATTTGGGAGTTCAGCAAATTCATACTCATCCTGAACAGGGCTATTGCGGAGCCTCTCTTCGCTTGGCTCAAGTGGGACCAGGATTTGGGGTTCTTCTTGTAAGGTTTCTTGAACATAAGTTGCACCAGAAGCGACTTCTTCCTCTGGGTAAGACACCTGTACCGGGACGTTCAGACTGAACTCCGGACTTGCATTTTCTGCTTCGTTCCCCTGACTACTTGCTTCACCTATGGGCTCTAGAACATGATGGGTGTCTTCAAATGGAACTGCATAACTCATCTTCTGGGTAACCACTCTGACTTCCTCAGTGACAGCTTTCCTCTGCATTGCCACAGAATCCAGGGTCTCCACATGGCCCACTGGCTCTTCTTCCTTGTAAACAGCTTTCTGTTCTTCTAGACTCTTCTCCAAAGTAGTTCCTACCCTCCCCCAAATTTCCCCTTCTGCAGCTATTGGTTGGTATGAATCATCCTTACCAACTCTTTCTTCCAGACCTTGGCCTTGGTCCTTTTGAGTTACAGATGTGTCGTAGGGAATGTCATCTTTGAGTATGTACTTCTCAAAATACATTCCTGTTCCATCATCAGTGTCAGAATTTCTTCTTGGAAATGATGCCTCAGAATTCACGCTGTCACCTTCAGAAGCTGTCTCCCCTTCCTTCATTTTCTCTCCAACAGCTTCTTCATACAGATCCTTATATAAAAATGCAAGTGCTGGTGGCTCTTCCAGAAGTTCCGGGTTAACGGCTTTAGGGGTGGAAGGAAATATTTGGGTTCGTGATAAAACTCCTTCCTCTGAATCAAATAAAGGCATCCCAGGTGACTTTGACTTCACATCTCTACTTGTGCCCTTCGAAGCATTCCCATCAGCTGATTTTTGGATAACCAAAGACTTTTGTGTCTCTGGGTAAGATAATTTGCTGTGGTCCTTTTCTGGTCCATAAAATCTTTCATCTAATTTCACCAAATCATATTCATGTTCTAGGGGAGTTTCCTCTGAACTTTCTGGGAAAGGTAGAGTTTCTTCTGTAACTTCCCTTGAGAGTTTCTCTTCAATGTTTAACTTCTGTGGAGCTTTCTGTTTTTCTGGGTCTGGGGAGATGTTATAATCGATCAAAGTATATTTTTCAAAATAATCCTCTTCACAGGGAACCGTGGGCTGAATAAAAGCTAAATCACCAGTTTCGGAATCTATGGATATCTCTTCTTTTGTCTTACGAGTTTCCTTTCGTTTATTTTCTTTCAATGATATAACTTTTTCTTCAGAATCTTCTAACTTGCTCCTTACTATTTTTTGGCAAGCAACTGCCTCTCTATCGTCACGAGGTAATGTGGTTTTAAATGAGGCTTTCTCTTCCAAATACTCTAACTGATCTGGCATTTGTTCACTTTCTTCCTGATCAGCTGAAAAAATAAAAGCTGGAGCATGAATATTCAGTATCTCACAGCCCTCAGAAATGATGCTAAAGGCACTCTTCTGGTCTTCTGAAAGTCCGGCTGGCTTACTAGTCACTGTAAATTCTTCATCTTTTGTATATGTGTCTTCAGGCCCCTTGGACATTTCTTTAGTAGAAACCATCTTATCAGTGCTGACTGCGGACGCATTAGTTATAAACTGAGCATAGTTGCTTCTTGCTGAGGAGAGTGGTTCATGTCCATGGGTATCATCCACAGCCTCCAAATGGGGCTTTGAAACAAGAACAGATTGCTTAGGCGTATCAGATTTCTGATCTGTAGATGTCTGGACAGTGTGGACTGTATGCCTCTCTGGAGTCGGTTCTGACCAGGGAACGCCTTGTTTCTTTGCTGTATTAATTTCTAGAGAAGCGCCTGAAGCGATGGTTTGTGGTTTTACAGATGATGGCAAATATGGTGGTGTTTCGAAGTTCTGTGTTTCATCTAAAGGACGAGCTACACTCCTTTCCAATTCTTTAAAGGGAGATCCTTGCTTCATACTTTCTTTTGTGATCTCCACTGAAACACCTTTGGATAACTCTGAGGCTTTGAGCTGCCCCCTTTCTTCACTGGGATGTGGTACATCCCTGCTTGACTCTTCAAACACCAGATTTCCTTCCTGAGCTAAAGAGTGGTTACCTATTTCATCACGACCAGAAAGAGCCACTGGAAGGAAGGTCTTGGTTTTCTCCAAGACTTTATTTTCTTCTAATGGATGTGGTTGCCTTCCTACTGCCTTTGTTTCTTTGATTTCTGGGGGAGCCTCAGAGAGGATGGTTTCTGACTTTCCAGTAATTGATGTAGCTTTAACTAATGAAAATGGTTGGGTTTCACCCAAAGAACGACCTAAAGAGGTCTCTAACTCTTTAGGCATAGACTGGGCTACATTCACAGGAGGCTGATTTTCTTTTTCTTCTCCCTTCTCCTCTTTCGAACTAACCATGATTTGGGATCGTTCTCTGTGGCCTTCATTTCCATGGACTTTCTGCAGCACAGAAGCAGCTTTTGATTCTTCCAATTCAGTAGGTCCAGACCCGCGTGTAATTTGTGCCTTCCCTGTTTCATTCTCATCTCTCAGCTCTAATGGGGCCACAGTGTCTTGTTTTCCCACCAGCGCCTTCTCTTCTGCCAAGATACCTGATCTGCTTTCCAAGTTACCTTTCTCCTCATTTGGGCTGACAGACCTGAGTTTCATTTCCTCTTCAGAAATTTTCAAAGCAGTAGGTGTTGGCATTTCTTTCTTTAGTCTGTCTTCACCAAGATCAATTAAACTGCCTTTTGATTCTTTTACTGGCAAAATTATTGACTCTGGTGTCTCCGATTCCTTCGTGATAGTCTTACTTGTGAAGACAGATGAAGCTGATTCGGGCTGTGGTGGCACCTTATCCACTACATCAAATGAAAGGAGTGATTTGTCTTTGTGATGGCTTTTTGGCTGTTCCTGAAGGATAGAAATATTCCATTTAGATGGGGGAGCGATGGTCGGCTTCTGGACCCTCTTGCTTTCCCTAGCAGGAAGAGGAACGACATTTCTGGCTTCCTCCACAACCAATTTCTCACCAGTGGGTGAAAAAGATTGAATTCCAAGATGTTCCTCGCCATCAGTGGAAGCAACTACTGCATTTGTGTTCATTTCCTCTGAGGAGTCAGGGATTTCTTTCTTCTCATAGTCTCCAGCAGTCATCTCAGAGTCAGACTTTGGCTGTTGTACAACCTCTGTGTTTGATGAAAATGTGGGTTTTGCTTTGAAGTCTTGCCCTTCATCTGATTTAATGTCAGCACCTCTGAATTCAACAGCTGTTGTAAGTTTTCCCCCTGGCAATGAATAAGCAGCTGGTTTCTCGGTGGCGTTAAAATCGGTGGGAATTGTCCCTTCAGGCTCTGTCACAGTCATTGCTTTTTCTACAGATGAACTTTGTTGAGTTTCTAAATCTTCTTTTTCAGCGACTTTGTTATCTGGAGTGCTTGATCCAAAAAACAAACTGGACATCCATGATCTGAAAGATGAAATTCCTTTTCTTCCCTTTTCCTCAGGAAGGTCTGGCTTAACCACCTTCGGCTGCTCAGGCGGCTTTTGGGTCCCCTCCGGTGACTCTTGGGGTTGAGGTTCTTGACCTGCTGGGACTGAGGAGCGGGATTTCCTTTGTGGGGGCATTTTCGCTTCGACAGCTGGTTTCTCTCCCGTGCTGGCATCATCTACAACCTTTGACTGAACCGTTTTTGATTCTTCTAGTGGCTTCTCTCCAGGGAGAGGGGGTGTGCCCCAGTGTGCTGCTGCTTCCTTGCCCAGTGACAGTTCCTCAGCTTCCGCCAGGAAATGGGCTGTTGTGACAGGAGAGGGGATGGTTTCTGACCTCGCCTGCTCTACTGACGGGCCAGACACTGATGTTTGGAGGACTCTTTCAGGAGGTAGTTTGATTTCTTCCTGGCTACCGTCTTTGCGAGGCCTGGATGACTCTGTGCTTGATTTCTCCAATATCAAACTTTCACTGCCCATGAAAGAATAAACCTCCTCCCCCTCTGCTGTGGTTCTCTCTTCATTTCCAGCTACTTCTAGAGATTTGGGTTCTTGGGCCAGCTTTACTGCTTCGAAAGGGTAACTTTTACTTAATAAGGTCTCTTCATCACCACTGGAAATATCAAGAGCAGGTACTGGTTCTTGTAATGACAGAGGAGTTTCCTCAGCAGAATGTGGTGGGACCTGCTTTCTGCCTGCCCAGGGCTGGTCCTCATCTGACAGAGCCTTCGGCTGCCTGCTCATCACATCACTGCTGTCAGAGGAACCCAGTTGCACAGATCCTGGTGTTCTTTCTTCATGCTGGCTGGCCAAGTTTTCTGGCTTTTCCAACATCGTTTTTTCATCCTTTAGAGAAATAAAAGACTCTTTCATTTTTGTCTCCTTCAAATCTGCAGGCTTGGTTATCATATATAATTTCGGTTGTTCCAAAGGCAAATTCTCCTTCGTGAACGATAATTGTTGAATACCCAGATCCTGTTTATCTGTGGGAGAGGTGCTTATGTCAGGTAATTTAATAGCTTGATCTGAACGAAGTGCTTTTTCTGTCTTCCGTCCCACAAGGTCAGGAGGAGTGATCTTGGATGGTTCTGTTACACTCTGGACCACACAGGCTGATTTGGGGTGGCCTGTGTCTTCATTTGGTTTGGTTACAATATCTTCCGTCATTTGTGCCTTCAAGTTTCCTATTGGTGGTAATGAGCTTATTTCTTGATCTTCCTCCTTTTGAAAGTCAGCTGAATGGTTCAACTGTTCTGATAATCCTTTTAGTGAAAAAAGATATGGCTGAAGTTCTTCTGGGTGGTCTCCTTTCGACCTGAGGCTGACTCCCTCGGGAGAGAAAGGTTTCGTTTCTTCCTTCTGAGCTTCCTCCCTTAGGCACGACGAAACCTCTGCAACTGCAGGCACCTTCGCAGAGGCTTGAAGTTCCTTGTTTTCTTCTTTTCCTTTTCTACCTGTAAGCTCCGCTAGGTCCTTTTCTGAAACAGAACCCCCTGTTTCAATGATGGGAGATTTTATTTGTTTTTTATCTATGGATCTACTTTGTCTACCTAAACCGTGAGTGATTTCTGATTCAGCATTTGGGAACTCTGATGGTTGGCATAGCTGCTCTTTCTTCTCAGGCTCCAGTGAGAGTTCTGCCAGGCCAACGCCTTGTTTTTCTGACGGGAAATCTCCCTGAGCTGTAGGAGCTGGCTCCATGGCCTGTTTGCTCTTATCATCCCCAGGGGTCGGTAATGTTGGGGCTAAGTCTTCTGACACTAAATTTTCCAACTCAGAAGAGCTGGCTATTTCTTCACTGTTGCCTTTTTGGACTATAGGTTTGGGTGGAGGTGACACATTTTGTGATAAAAGAAGTTCAGGGTCTTCTTTCTTTAACTTGCCACCTAGGTTGAGTGAGAATACGTGTTCAGGCTCCGATGCCTCTGAGTCCTTTTCCTGTGATAAAACCGAACATTCTGAGTCAATTACTGCAGAAAGTGAGAGACCTTGTTTGTCTTCTACCTTTGCTCCCTCAGACGCATCAGAGCGCTGAGCAGATGGTGTTTGGGATATTGGCTCAGGTTTAATTTCTTCAGTTTCTACCTTTGACAAAACAGAATGCTCTGACATAGAGGAGACACTCAGAGGTGAAGCAACTTTCACCTCCTTCTCTGCTTCTAGCCAAGCTAAAACTTTGGAGGAAGAAGTTTCAATGGGAGAAGCATCTTTAATTCCTGCCCTTTCTTCTTTAAGCACTGAATGTTCATCTATAGATGTTACCAGGGGTAGCAAACCACTTCCTAATTCACCCTTTCCTCCTTTTGTTAAGACTGGATGTTCCACAGGGCTGGCGAAGGACACGTCTGTTGGGATTTCCTCTTTCACCGATTTGGTTAAGTTTGACTCCAGCGTAGTTTCAGATGCGGTTGTTGAGGAACTAGGTTTAGTTTCTTTGTTTACTTCTGACAAAGCCGAAAAAAATGCTGGTGCAGGTGGACCATGTTCAACTTCCTTCACCACTCCCAAGGAAGCCGGATAAGGCTCCATAGATGTACTCATTATTTTAGGATCACGTTTTACTTCTGTTTTCACTACTGATACAACCTCAGGTGCAGCTAAAAATGTTTCCTTTAGAGGTGAATATGGTTTTGTTACTTCAGGCTCGTTCTTAGACAAGATTCTCTGTTCTTGTTCAGAAGTCACATTTGGAGCTAAATTGGGTTTGACATCCTTCTTTGGCTCATTTTCCAATTCAGGCAAAACTGAATATTTCATCTCAGACCCTGGAACATTTGGAGGCTGAGGCTCCATTTTTTGATCCTGTGATACATGTGGTGTAGCTTCTTGGGAATCGGGCACAATTTCTTCCTTCCTGACTTTTGACAAAGCCATCTGTTCATCTGCAGCTTTTAAAGTAAGTGATGATTTAGGTTCCTGTTCTTTCTTAATTGCATGGACTGAATCAGGTGAAACTGAACACTGACGTGCAGGCAAAACAGGTTTGGTTTCTTCCTTTACCATGGATGACGGTGCAAGTAAAGAGGCAGGTGTTGCAGCCACTGATGGACTAGGCCTTGTTTCTCCCTTCTCCAATTCACTGTTTGAACATGGTGGAATCAAGTCTTCAGACTCAGGCTCCAAAGATGCTTGAGTTTTGTTTTTGTGTGCCAAAATGAGATATTCAGATACAGATGTTGAGGTTGTGGGAATGTCTGGCTTAACTTCTGCTTTTTCTGGTTTATTTCTTGAAGGTGGCAGACTCAAGTCTTCTAGCACCGATATCAAAGGAAAGGGTTCAGCTTTTTGCTCCTGTGATGAACTGAAATGCTCGGGTACAGGTGTAGAAGCTGTTGATCCAATTTCTTCCTCATCTGTTTCTGAGAAGCAGGAATATTCTGAAGCAGGCATTGCAGTTAATAGTGAATCGGGCTCAATTTCATTTATCTCTGTTGCTGGGACTCTAAACGGTGGGATTGAAATTTGTGATACTGAGTCTGGAGAAAAAAGTCCGGCTTCTTCAGTGTCTTCATCTGACAAGATAGTGTGGTCAGATGGTGATGTTAAACACATTGGAGAATCACACTCAAATTCTCTTTTTTCTGCTTCCTGAGTTGCATAGGGAGGAAATGAGAATTCTGACACAAAGGCTGAATCTGGAGAAAAAGGTCCGATGTCTTCTTGATCTGCTTCTGATAAACTCTTGGGTGAGGAGGCACTTTCTAAATTTAGAGGGAGATCGTGGACAATTTTTTCCTCCTGTGGTTCTGGTGTTATAGGTGGGGGTACTGAAAATTCAGACCCAGACGTGGAAGAGGGTGTGTACCGCTCCATTTCCACTGCCTCTTCTTCTGATGGCACCACACGTTCAGATGGGGTGGCCGAAAGTGGTGGGGGCTGGCATTCCGAAGTCATCTCAGTTGTTTTCTTCAGCAATGCTTCTGTTGCGCGTGATGGGACCGAATGTTCAGAAGCAGATGTGGAGTCTGGTGTGTAACGCCCACTTTCTGAGGTCTCATCTCCTGAGAGGACCACATGCTCTGGTGTGACTGATGAAAACAGCGGAGACTGGCACTCTGAAGTCTTCTCAGTTGTGGATGGTGACAGAGAACCCACAGCTGGGGACTGTGATCCAATATCTTC